TTGAAGAACAAGATGACAGCAACTTGTCTGTTCCCCTTCCCCCAATTCCCCAGCACTGTTCCCATTCCCCCAATTCCCCCAATAAAAATCTTTAAAAAAAAAAAAAATAAAAAAAAAAATAAAATCACCTGAAACTGAAATAGCAAGCCAAACTACTTTTAAATTTTTGGTACATATCCAGATTTTTTTCCTATGACTATAAGTGCATGTTGTTTTATTTACGAAAATGTGATAAAACTGTAGGCAAATTGTATGATTTGCTTTTCCACTTAATGGTATATTTGGAACGTCTTTCCCTAGAAATAAATATGCTTTTGCAACATAACTCTTAATGCCTTACACATGCCATTGTGCAATATTCCCTCATCTGTAAAATAAATACAATCAAAGTACCCACATCGAAGGTTATTGTTGTGAGCATTAAGAAGTTAATATATGTAAGAACTTAGAACACTACAAATAAAGTACTATCTGTTAGCTATTATTTCTGCCGAGCTGTATCTAATCAATATCCTCAGGTATAAAAACCGCAGGTTAAGGATCTGACCAAGAGGGTGACAAGTCTGCATATACATTAATATGTGCTAACATGTGCATAGAAAAATGTCTGATGACAGGAACCACTCAGGTGAGTGGGAAAGGACTGGGAGCTTATACTTCTTACTAATTCAAGGTTCTAGAGGTTTCCATCCCCCAGTGTGTACTACTTTTCTAATTGTTTTAAATATGGCAAATAGGAGCAAGAGGATATGAAAAACACTTGCTTCCTTCCACCTTAGCATTCAAACCACATTGTTTTGCTTGTTAACCGCAGTGGTGGACTCCTGGTTCTATCACCAGAGTCTACAGAATTGGAAACAGAAATTCCTGCAGTGTATGTGTTTTAATAAAATTCCACAGCAACTAAATAAACAAGGCATTCTACTTGTATGTAGCCCTTTAGAAAGGAACTCTGTTTATATCAGAAGCCAATGAATATTTAAACTGTAAGTTAATTTCTACTTACTCTGAATCTGCTGTGACACTGCTTAATGCACAGTCTAACAGGCCAACTCTACTTCGAGTTCTTGGGTCCCAGCACTCCACTCGACCCTAAGCAAACAAAAACCAGTCATTTTAAATAATAGCTGTCACTAGAAAATTTTAGACAAATACCAAAAAATGCTTTATTAATATTATCTCATGGGGAATAAGAATATAACTTTTTACCTTATGCCTTTTTAAAATGTTAAATGTTTTACCATGAGTTGACTTTCTTGTATAATTTTAAAAAAAAAAAAAAAAGGAAAAAAATACTGGTTTTAAAAAAAGGTCCAAAATGTGATGTATGATCTTTGACTGGACATTGGTTTGGTTGGTCGGGTGCAGAGGGAAGGAGCTGCGAGAGACATTTTAGTCTAACCAGGAAAATTTTAAATAGTTAAATACTATCGTATCAATGTTAAATATTTAATACGTAATACTATATCAATGCTAAACTTCTTAGGGATGAAAATAGTATCATGATTTAATAGGAGAAAGTCCTTTGTTTTAAGAAAAACGTTGGAAGTGTTTAAAACCAAAATGTCATAATGTCTGCAATTTATTTTCAAATGGTTCAAAAAACATATTTTATATACATATACACACACACTTTTATAGAAAAGAAAGCAAATGTACATACAAAACGTATGTGATTAGTGAACTATGTTTTCAACTTTTCAGGAGGTGTGAATTTTTTAAAAATAAAAATCTGGGGGAAAATAAAGCATGAAAATGAAAAAAAAGAACTACCAACAATAGAGCAATGGAGCAATGGCATAATCCATTTAACAGAACACTACAGTCATTAAAAAGAATGGCGTAGATACACACATACTAAAACTATGTCCACAATCTGTTAAAATCATAGACAAAGATTAAAAATAACTGTTTACTATGTTAATAATCTTAAAATCAAGACCTTGAATACACTGGAAGGCTTGATCTCATTAATCGCTTACTATTATTACAAATGTGTCTGTCACAAAGATGAATAAAGGAAGAGATTTCTCATAAATCATGTAGCAACTACAATAAAACCTTGGATTGCGAGTAATGTGGTTTGCAAGTGTTCCGCAAGACGAGCAAACATTTCTAATACATTTTAACGTGGTAAATGAGCGATGTCTTGCAATACAAGTAGTTTGTTTCCAGAACAAATTATGCTCGCAAACCAAGGTATTACTGTAATTCCAAATGATCTAATATTCTGTCTTTTCAAAACTCCAAATGGTCTAATATTTTATGACTTTAGGGACATAAAAGTCACATTTCAAAAATAAATATGGGTATACAGATCAACTCCAGAGTAAATACAAAATGGTTTTATTAACCATACTGATTTTCTGTGACCTAAATGTGAATATTGCTATTGCTAAAGCCTGCACTGACGTACTTCAAAAAGCACAATAAAGCAAGCCCTTACTGATTTTGACAACACTATTAATTACAGTATCCACCAGAAAATAAATCAAAATCCAACATACTATCAAAATTGATGTAAAAATGAAATTTTAAAGTCTGGTCTGACTATGCATATGAAATTTCAAGCCCCCAGTAATGAAGGAACTTAAGAAACCTCAGTCTTTGGGCTTGGGGGGCGGGAGGTCTGCTCCCTGCTCAGCGTGTGGCAGAGCTGGTCTTAAAACAGCTGGTGGAAGGGTAGCCTGCTCTAATACATAACTTCTCTTTCAGAGCACATTTCCTGATATCTAGCCTAGATCGCTCTGCAAGGCCTCTATTTAAAAACTATTTTTTCAAGAAACCTATTGTATAATTTCTCCTTAATAATCTCAAGAAAAGTAATTATCAAGAGAATGCCTCATTGGCCTGACTTAGGCATAATATTATAACACATTCAACATAGTTTTACATATTTCCATTGAATCAGCATCATGTGTCCCATTTCAAATCTTAATCTCTTAACCTCAACACAATTTGAACAGAAAGACCTGAATTTCATCCATGCATGATTGGCTTAATAAACTACAGAACATCAAACAATGGAATCCTGTCCATCTGTTTAAAATAATTAGCTTAGCATTAAAAGTAATTATAAGTACCAATGTATAAAGATGCACATTTATATACTGTTACGTTTAAAAAAAAAAAAGCAAGTTGGGAACCATGGTATGTCATTTTTGTAAAAATTAAAAATATATATATTACTAACACATATGCATTTCTGCATGTACACAGGAAAAAAACCTGAAAGGATAAACCTGCAAACCATTAGAGTTACCTCTGGGGTGTAGGATTTGGTGACTGGAAGGCACAAAGGACACTTTTTAAATATGTTTCTGACATATTTGCTTCTTTTTTACTATTAGTATTTACCATTATTGTAATTAAAAATGAAAATCTAGAAAAATACTTGACAATTATGAAGGACACTGATTCAAAGGTACTGCAATTTAAAAGTAAAATCTGTATTTATTGAATGCTACTGTAGAGGGTACAGAAATCACGATCCTACATGCCTTTACAGGAAAACATATTTATAATGTTTTCACATAGGTTGTTTCATGTGATTCTCACCAGCACCTCCATAAAGTCAGCAAGGTGAGTATTATCTCATTTCACCGATGAGGAAACAGCCACAGGGAAAGTAATTCACAGCCACCAAACTAACAAGCAGCAGAGAGCGGAGACCCCATGACACGTCGCCTCCTGCTAACAAGCATGGCTGTCACACTGCTCCCCAGGAGCTGGGATCCAGCGGTGACCTGCACCTGATAATCAATGTCAAAGCGTGCCACATAGGTACTTTTTGGGGCACAGTCTGCAGCCCCAGAATAGCTAGCTGTGTCTTGGTGTGGCCCAGAAGAGCTGTGTTTTTCTGTGAACCATTACCAATATTCCATAAAAAAAGCAAGCCCGTGGCTTGTCGCTTCATTAGCACCCTGCTCTTAGGAACCAAACAACGCTGTCTTTAAATAAAACTCCATTCGCTACCAAATGTAAAACAAATATTTTAAAAAATAAAGTCCATGTATGCTTACCTCGACTGTCCCTGTGGCAAACAAGCCGTGTGCGGAATTTATGTCACAAACATTATTCTCCCTAAAACAGTAAAGCAATGAGGGAGAAAGTATTAGCATGTACTTGACGGCAGAGGGCTACTCTAAACTTTCTACATAAGCAGTCAACCCAATTCTGCAGAGAAAGAGCAGGCAGATTCTCTCACTCACCTGCATATGAAAAACACTAAGGCATGAAAGGGTTAAGTGCCTGGCACTTAAGTCACCAGAGTTTATGATCCCCAGGGTGACACTCTATCAGCCAGGGGATGAGACAGGGAAGGGCTTCCTTCTGAAATACTATTCCATGGCCATGAGAATAAAGGTTCATTCTACTTTCTCAATATATTTTCTCCCAGGCAAGAAGAACAGAGGCTATAACTGCCAACCCAAGACTTGACTAGTTTAAGTGGGGTATACTGATCTAAGCCTCATTTTCTTTTTTCTGTAAAATGGATATTTCACCTCCTCATTGGGTTGTTGTAAGGGTTAAATGAAAAAACTACAAAATGTTCAGCATAGCATCCAGAGTTCACTGGATTCAATAATCCAAAGACATTCAATAATAACAGCTGTTATTATAAGCAGGAAATTGTGCAGCTAAACAGCAGGTAACTTTTTATTATTCAACAATGCATCATGAAGTTATTATCTCTTTTTAAAAAAAATTAGAGCATTTCGAGCCAATGTAAAAACAAATACCAAGAATTTATCTAGTTTTTATCACTATATGTTCTTCCAACCTTTAAAACCCCTTTCAAAGCAATAAGGTAAATCCAATAAGCTTTTTTTTTAAAGATTTTCATTGAGGAACTCGGGGGATGGGAACAGTGCTGGGGAACCGGGGAAGGGGAACAGACAAACCGCTGTCCCTTTGCTCTTGAGTCTAGTTGTGGAGGACGCAGCTCCACCGGCCCAAGCCGGCACCACCACTGCGCTCCTCCCGGGCGAGGCAGATCAGTCGCCGGCCCCTGGACGACCGCTCACCGCGGCCGCCGGCCGCCCACACTGTCTGCCTGCTGCTCATGCTGGCTGCCCATGGCAACCCACTGCAGCAGGGGCCGCAGCCCACGCCATTGCGGCAACTTTCAGCATCTTAGCTGTAGAGGGCAGCGTCACCGGCCCTCACATGCAGGATCCGAACCGGGGCCCTCCGGCGTCCCAAGCCAGTTCCCAACCATCGCGCCACTTTGGCCGGCCCCCAATAAACTCTTTATATACACAGATGAGAAATAATCTATCTTCTACCCCTCCTGGCTGTGTGACCTTGGACAAGCTACTTATCCTCTCTGAGCCTCAGTTGCCCTATCTGTAAAATGGAAATAATACTATCTACTATAAAAATTTGTTATAAGTTTAGGGCCGGCCAAGTGGCGTGGTTGGTTAAGAGCTGGCTTGGGACACCAGCTCTGAGCAGCAGGGTCCCGATTCGGATCCCACATCGGCGACTGAGACAATGCCCTCCATAGCTAAGATGCTGAACAACAGCTCAACCTGGAGCTGGGCTGCTGTGAGTTGCCGGCGACGGCGTAGGCTGCAGTCCTCTGCTGCAGTGGGTTGCCATAAGCTACCGTGTGTAGCCAACAGCCAGCAGCCGCCGTGAGTGGCCGTCCAGAAGCCGGAGACTGATCTGCCTCGCCCGGGAAGAGCACAATGATGGTGCCAACTTGGGCCAGTGAAGCAACATCCTCCACAACTAGACTGAAGAACAAAAGGACAGCAACTTGTCTGTTCCCCTCCCCCAACTCCCCAATAAAATCTTAAAAAAAAAAAAAGTACACTTTTTGATTAATTTGCCCAGAGCATTGCTTAAATGCAACACATATTATTTGATAACTTGAGCAACTGGCTCCATCTCCTGGCCAAAATAAATACAGCAGTATTCTTATCATACTCACGCGGCGTCAGTTTGTAGAGGATTTAGGTACCGTCCTTGTTCTAAGTTTAATCTATAAACTTCAGAGCTGCAAAGCAATGTACAAAGTCAAAAATCTGGTAAAGTACAATGAATTTTCTTCAAGCAAATAGAATTTTTTAGAAATAAATAAATAAATAAATTGCTCATAAGGGAGGCATCACTTCCCTTTGTAAAACTGATACAACAATGTACTCTTAACTAAAAAATAATCACTATATTTGTAAGTTTGTTCATGTATAAAAGTGATTTAAACCACCCATGTGCCTAGGAAATATTATGAAGTCATTAGCTAGACTACAATTTATAAATAACACGGATTGAATACAAGATCCAAAATGTATCTATATGCATATATAAGAAAAGACTAGGAGGAAACACAATCAAACATTAATAAGGGCTTCCTCTGGGTGACATAATTATAGGTGATTTTTTGTTCTTTACTCTTTTTTATATTTTCCCAATTTTTAAAAATAGATATGTATTATTTTTACAGTTATAAAGAAGGTAGCATTTAAGAATAAGAAATTTTTAAATGCCATGCAATGAGGCTAAGGAACGGACTTTAGCACCAATATGACCCTCTTAGGTTGCCCATGTCTCTCTCTAGGTTTAGAGCACTGTGCTAGTAAGAGTCAAGGATGTAATTCCTAAATGAGCCAGTCACTTTGGAACTACACCCTTTGAGCAAGTGAAAGACACGGATCACGTCTTCCTCTTTTAATTCCTCTTCTCGATGTTAAGAACAGGTTTGTCTGGGGAGGTGGGAAGGAGAAAGCAAAGGGTGATTGGACCCAATACCTTGCGCCAACAAAGTACAAGTCACAGGATGGATAATGGTAAGAGAAATCTCTCCCGAACTTTGGTATTCTGGTTTTGTAGTAAAAACCTGATTGTGAATGGAATTCAATGTATCTATCGTTGTGTAAGAAGACAATCTGAAAATGAAACAAGAAAATGAGTGTGCTTAGGTTTCTAGGTAAAGTGTTTATTTCATCATCACTAAAACTGGTAAAACAAGAAAAACTCTGGTCTCTCTCACCTTCCTTCTTTCTCTTTGTAAACACACATGTGTATACACACAACTTTCCATCATGGTTAAGAATCAAACCTCTCCAGTGGTTACTTAATGCCTTCCTGTGTTCTAGATAGTTTTTCTGCAAACCTTACCTTCTAACTGAAAGACTTAAATCAAACGCCCTTCATTTATCTGGCACTGACACTGTGTAACATAGAGCACTGCTCAGTAACCTCAATGAGTAATTTCCCATTTTACTTAAGAACACATTTTAATCATCTCACAATTATTACACAGGGCTTGGTAAACTTATATAAACTTAACTTTAATGTATTACAAAGGTATCTTTAAAATCTGCAGATGGTACTTAAAAGCAAATTTGTCACTATCTAGATCAAATACGTTATAAAATCAACATATCCCAAAACACGTGACAAATGGTTACCATTATCAAAAGGACAGAATGTACTCCATAGTTTCCAGAACTGAGGACAATATATAAAGCCATGTCAGCTTAGAAAATTCAATTTTCCTTCAAGATGACATCTGACATCACTAAAAATTTTTCCTTCAAACGGAATAAGGCAAACAAAGAAATGAAAAAAATGTATGTATTTGGCTGTATTCCGAACTGTTTCAGAATATGCCACAACCATTTATTTGCAGGATTAAGAAAATAAAACATACATTACTGTTATTTTACTTTTCACATATAAATATGAAAGCAACTTGGCAAATAACACTGGTTTAAATGCAATAATGAAAATCACACATCTAGAATCTAAGATGGTCTAAAAACAGATGACTACTACCAATTCTTAAGAATACAAATAAGTTTTCATATGTGATATGGAAAATTTATTTTGATATTAGACTGGCCAAAAGCTACCTCTATCACTCTTTTAAAAGACACTATGTATCATACATGAGACAAACTAAAAATATATTAATAGAAAATGATAGGTTTTACTTTACTACATACCCATTTTTAATTTAACAGTGAGACCATCATAAAAATATTTATCATAAAAATAAATTCCACTCATTCATGTTTTGAGGACAGCCACTACAAACCAATCAAGCATACCTTTGAATAATCATCAGACAAAGTTTCAAAGGTGACAACTGAAAAATAAAAAATAGTAGGAAAAAATACAATTATCAATCCACATTTTTAATAAAAATGTACACTTGATGCAAAGATTCTAATTCAACACAAAAATTATATACCCATGTTAGGTTTTTCTTCCATTTTTGCTCCTACATAAAAGAAGAATAAAGTTGCCATATTATTTTGCCCCAAAAACACCAAATGGAAAATTAAAAGCTTTATAATTAATTTCTCAATGCTGATCAATTTGATTTCTGCAGAACTAAAGTGATTTAAAAATAAATTCACAAAACATAATGACTTCTAAATTTTGCCAGTTTTTCTAAGATATTCAAAATAAAACAGACATTAAAGAACTTTCAGAAATGTTGCTAATCTAAGATTGAACACGGCTCCTTGAGCTGAGCGATGTGGAGGCTGGATGGCAACTGGACTTGGAGCTGAGCTAGCTGCGCCCTCCACAACTAAGACTGAAGGACAACAACTTAGCTGTTCCCCTTCCCCAATTCCCCAATAAAATCGTAAAAAAAAAAAATGTTGCTTAAAAAAGACAATAGTAACTTTTTACTCATTCATAGTATATCTACTAAATAAAAATAGTGAAAATAGTTATTAGCAGCACATGAAATTTTTTTTTTTTAAGGGTGAAACAAGAGAATACATATCCTATTACTTCTTTCCCCTCAATCTCGAGGCCACCTGAGAAAAACACCTGAACTTTCCCATTTCAACCTGCCCTCAGTGCTAGGCAGCAACGACCCCACTGACCTTCCCCCTTGTATAACCCCCCTTCTCGGGAGAGTGTGGGTGGAACCTGTGAATGTGAGGACACCCCACTGCTCCCATGATTATGTCTCAGTATACGGCAAAGGGGAGATTGATAACCACATGAGCCCTTTAAAAGCAGAGTGTTCTCTGGCTGACAGAAGAAGGGGAACTCAGAACGGGAACAAGAAAGAGCGGTTGCTGGCTTGAAGGTGGAGGAGACCAGGTGACGAGGAATGCAGGCAGCCCTCAGGAGCTGGGAGCAGCCCCAGGCTGCCAGCCAGCCAGCAGGAAACAGACCTGAGTCCTCCAACAGCAACAAACTGCATCCTGCCAACCACCCGAAAGCCTGGAAGTGGGTTCTTGCCCAGAGCCTCTGGATAAGAGTCCACCTGGCTGACAGCTTGAGTTCAGCCCTGAGCACAGAACAACGCAGGGCCTGGACAGACTTCCCCTACAGAACTGTGAGCTAATTAATGGATGTTCACGGTAATTTGTTACACAGCAAAGAAAACTAATATACAACCCATTCCCATTTTAACAAGCAGAAAAGCAGCCAAATATAGACAACTATTTTCATGAATTCAAATTTCACCTCTTACTTACCTTCTGAATCTAAACACCTTTCAAACTTCAAGGATAATTGATAGGTGTCATAGCATCGAACCCGAGGTTTATATGTTCCTATAAAAAAAAATTAACATGATTTAAAACCTAAAGGATATACTTTTCATTGTCAACATCCTGCAGATACGTTGAGTATACTTTTTGCCCAGAGGTAAGTAGGATTCACTATAACCATATCAAAGGGAAACAGTTTAGAAGCAGTCCTCCCCAACATCCCAAGAGAAAATGGGCAAAGGATATCAACAAGCAAGTTACAGAAAATGAAATACAAATAACTAATACATCTCACAAATAATCTAGCCAAGTAGATTAAAACAATGAAATGGTTTCTGGCCATCAGAATGGTAACGATGAAAAGATGGTTAATATGGTGTTGGTGAGAGTGTTAAAAATGCTCATACACTGTTGGTGATTAGTATAAATTGTTACAACTTCTCTGGAGGACAATATGGCAATATCTCTAAACTATATGATGTTTATACATCTTAAATCTGTACTTAAAATTATACAAGTCTGTCCTAAGGAAACACACCTACAAGTCTGCCACAGACATGCAGCATTGTTTATAGGTGGCCAAAACTGAAAGCAAATAAAATGTCCACTGATAGGAAATAGTTAAATGAACAATGGTAAATCATCATCTAGCTCACAAAGAGGATGACACAGACCTGGAACTACTGACCTGGAAAGCCGCCCAACATATTACAAAGTGAAAGTCAATAGAGAGAGCATGGTGAGACCTGAGGAATGGCGCACACAATGTGTCCCATTTTTGTAAAACTCAACAATGATGTTTGCACAGAAAAAAGTTGGAGGAATATGCGCAGTGATTATTTATCTCTGTGAAGTGCAATTTAGGTCCTTTCACATGTTATCTTATGTATTTCTGCAATGTTTCCATTTTATATAAGTTTATCATGTTTGCAATCAGGAAAAGAAAAAGGCTGATTTTTAAAACCAATCATTTTAAAAAGAAAAGAAATGAGGTAGTCCTATGTTTACTGGCATGGATCAAAGCCCAAAGTCTTGTTTTAAATAGTACAGTATATAAACATATATATACACACACATACTATATTGTCACGTGTAGCTTAATGATGGGGATACGTTGAGACATGTGTCGGGTGATTTCATCATTGTGCGAACTTCCGTAGAGTGCACGTAGGGAAACCTGCTGGTACAGCCTACAACTGTAATGGTATGTGCTGTTTTTACACAACTGATAGCACAGACGGTTTGTTCACACCAGCATCAGCACAAACCCGTGAGTAATGTGTTGTGTTGTGACACTACAACAGCTAGAACATCATGAGGCGATAGGAATTTGTCAGCTCCACTATAATCTTATGGGATCATCATCGTATTTGTGGTCTGTCGGTGACCAAAATGACGTGATGTGGCACATAACTATATTACATACGTGTATATATTATATGCATGTTACATATATGATATATAGTATATATAACACATAATATACATAGTGTGTATATTATATAATATGTAATTATTTACACATATAAAACTATATATATATATATATATATATATTATGAATATAAAACTGGAAGCTAAGAAACGTGCATAGTGCTAATACTAAGACAACCATTAACACAGAACAAGAGACTGGCATGCAGATGTATAAAAGTTCTGACAAATAAGAAAGCGGCTGAAAAGGGGATACAGATGGATAATGTTAAACCAGCAAAAAAATGTATGTGGACAACACACAGGATATATGTACAAAATCACAACCAAAAATAACTGGGTAATGTTCTAAATTATAATGTATTAAATGTTCCCACATTCATGGCTTTTTGATACTGCTAATATAAATGCTGCTAATATAAAATCTTAGTGATATACAAAATATTAAGTATATGATACAGAAAATTATTATGTTAAAAGTGGCTTTTCCTGGAACTCTCATTCATCGTTGGTGGGAGTGTAACATGATCTGACCACTTTGAGAAAAAGTCTGGCAGCTTCTTATCAATTCAACATACACCTATCCTATGACCTTGCAGTGTCCTCAAACAGACTGGTACATAGTGCTTTATCAATTAACAGCCCAAAACTGAAAATAGGCCAGGTGTCCATCAAATGGAGAGTGGATAAACTGTGGTGTATTCCTATAAGGAAATACGATTTGGCAATTAAAAAAGAACAAACTACTGGCACATACAACAATGTGCAAATCTCAAATAGGAAGTCCTAGGTGAAAAAAGTCTCACACAAAAAGAATACACAGTATATGACTGCATTTATATAAGGTTCTGAAACAGGCTAAACTCGTCTACAGTGAAAGGAAATGAGCAGTGGTGCCTGCGCAGGGGTGGGCACGGGTTGACGGTGAGGGGCATGAAGAAGTTTCTGGTAAAAGGAATATTCTATACCCGGATAGGGGTTTGGGCTAGACAGTTTCATGCATCTGTCAAAACAAACGGTATAGTTAAGATCTGAGCTTTTCACTGTATGTAAATTTTTCTTTCAAAAAGTTAGTGATATACATGCTGAGGTATTTAGGGGTGGGGTATTCTGATATTTGCAAGTTGCTCTGAAATACATTCAAAACCAGGATGGATGGATGGATGGATGAGTGAGTGAGTGAGTGGGTCGGTGGGTAGATGGGTGGATGGATGTACTAACGAAGAGATGCACAGACAGACATGTGATAAAGCAAATACAGCAAACTACTGCAGAATCTAGGTGGTGGGTAAATGGCGTAATCTTTCTTTATGTGTGAAATTTTTTGTACTATACTGTTAGGGTAACAAAAAAAGTGACCTTCCCCACCACAGCATTTCATATTTCATGCTATGAAATGTATGTAAATCATAACCGAAGAGATGCTTACCAGTTGCTAAAATATATTGTCCATCTTTTGACACCTTAATAGTAGTACAAACAGTAGGCATTTCAAAATCCTGAATAAGTTCAATTCTCCTACGGACATCTACACGGAGAGAAAATAAACAGCTGGTTTAATGATCATGTCTTATTCTATATCACAGGAAGCAAAGCACACAGAGCAGGCACTACAAACAGGTCATCAGCATCCCTGTGCTTCCAAGCCTGGGGAAAACACACCAACACAGCCCCACCCACCACACAGCGAGGGTTTTTTCTGAGCTCATACATTATTCTTCTAAGCTAAGTATCTTATTTTTACTTTTCAAAAAGGAAAAACTACCACCACTAATTGAAAAAAAGAGCCTACAGTAGTGCACCAAACATCCAGTTTTAAGACCTGGATAAAAAAAGGAACAGAATAAACATTAAACCGCTATCATTATACAGTTATGGCTAAGACAAAAATCTTACCATTTCTTTTTCCTAAACAGTAACAAGTTTAAGCCTTCAAAAACCTTAAGTTTATAGAAGAAACGGGGACCACACTGCCTCTGTTGGCACCGCTGATCTGCAGCCAAGAGGATCCAGGCGAGAGGAGACTTCCAAGGTCTCTCTGGATCAAAACTCTTCACACAGACTCACCAGAAGGAACCAAGAAGTGTGGGTTCTTGCTGGCTGCTATCATAACAATGTGCCTATTACAAGGACTGTTTATGACTCTGTGGCACATTGCTGCCTTGTTTATTAAACACAAATATAAGGCTCGGACCAACTGAGTAGGGGTGGCCCACTCAGTTTGGAACACACATGAGTAGTTTTGAGATGGGTTGGGAGAAAGTCAGTGAGCCATTTTTTCCTCTAAATAATCTGCATCTGTTTTCTTACATACTAGAATTCTGCAGTGGAATGACAGAATCAGAAGAAATCAGAATCAGTAACCATTACTAAAGCAGCAATTTTTGTTTTCCTTTTATTTAAAGTTTAATTTTCTAACTTTAGTACTATACAAAGCCTACTCTCCCAAGACTCTTGCCTTGGGGTATTGATCTGACATCCAGAATCCCTTCAGTATCTTCAGTCTTTGATTTTTAGAGAATCACTTAAATAAAATATATGGGAAGATAAGTCATCTTTCATATATGACAAGTTTGTAATGGAGAAAATGTAATAAAAATTTGTCCAAAATGATTTCACAGCTAATCTTACATGCCTATGTTCTTTACTGCCATAACTTAAAGAATCAAAATCTTCTGCAATGATCTTTTATTACTCATGTTCATATGTCTTGTATGTAAAATTACTTTGTTCAGAAAGAAAATTTTCATTGTTTCTATATCACAAAAACTGACAAATGGATTTACCAAATGGAAACGGTTCTGATACACTTGCGAACAAAGAACATGGGATGGTTAGGAGACAGTCCCCTTGGGCCTCTGGCATTCCTATACTTGCTGCGTATGGCAGGACTGTAAGGTCCTAGCCATTCCTCTTCCTGAGCCCTTTCTCAGTGTTCTTTATGCAGCTGGAAGCCTTGACAGGAGAGGTGACATGTCTCCTCTGGACAAACAACGGGTGTGCTCGCTGCCCGCTCCAAAAGCAGTGGACTTCCCAAGCCTGGTGTTCCTCAGCTGCCACTCAAACCCACTGCATGCAGCACATCCATCTGGGTCACACTGAGTGCTCCCATGGGACTTAAGGGCAAGGGGAACTGACTGAGATATGCTGATGCTCATGCTATAATGCTGTGTTCTGTGAGTAACCGAGTCCTTGTCTCTGACCCAGGAGTCTTGGTCTTCCGCTATTATCCATGAAACAATGACAGGCTAACTTATTAGCTTGTTAAGTGGGTAAAATCAAATCCCACCCCCACCAGGAACACACTGACCACAAGAAAAGATTTCTTGAGAAGGAAAAGGGCAAACAGTTTATTTTCCACTGCATTTTTGTGAACCTTCACTTAAATATGATAATAAGCGAAAGCTTTATAACATGGATCATGAATGCAGCTCAAGTGGGAAAAAATAATACTCACCAACATCCTTCTTCTGTAGTGCTCTCTTCTTCCTGTCAGAAAGCCACTAAAGAAAATGAAGAGACTTTATTTTAAAACATATTTACTTGAATTGTTTTTCTGTTAGTAAAAACAACACATGCTCACATTAAAAAATGTTAAAACCTCATAGGACTATATAACACAGAAAGTGAAAATATTCTGTATTCCTAACCCCACTGTTAATATATCCTCTGGATTTTTCTTCTTGTATATATTTACACATATTAGACAATAAATTTTTAGCACTACCATGGTTTACACAAGAGAAAATTAATTCATCTAATCAATCTAAGGGAAAATAGTAAGCCTCAAATATTATGGGTTATAACTACCATATGAACAACTTCATCTATTTAAGTGAAATTTTAAAAAGAAAACCATTAAAGGGAGAAAGTTTCTTAAAAATATGTATTTTTATGAAGACTAAAACTAGACATGTAACTGACCAAAAAGCTGACACTTGATAATAAAGAAATGATATTTTTAAAAGTCTTATTTACTGGATTACCAGATTTTGTTCTGTAATTAATGTACTTCAGTTCAGCAAGGTGCATAACTCCACTGCCTGAACATGATGAAGCTCTAATCAATGATGATTACCCTAAAACAGCGGTTCTCAACCAGGAGCAATTTTTTGCCCCCTCAAAGGGCATATGGCAATTCCTAAAGACACATTTGCTTGTCACAACTGGGAGGAGTGCTCTTGGCATGCCGTGGGTAGAGGTCACGGATGCTGCCAAACATCCTACAATGCACAAGACAGCCCCACAACAAAGAACTGTCCGGCCCAAAATGTCGATAATGATGAAGTTAAGAAACCCTACCCTAAAGAAATGAAAGAAAAGAGAAGAAGTGACAGCAGGTGTCACTTCTAAAGGCACAAACCCAATGAACAGCCCGAGTTCGACACATGACATTATCATCTTTAGGACTCTGGCCATGTAGGCTCACCACTCAAGACCCTGAGTCTAATGCCCGAGGCAGGCAGTGTGTACGTTTGAAGAGGTCCGCCACTTTGAAGGGCCTGAGTCTGTGCCAGGGCTTTCTTCCTTTCTTTGTATTTAGTGCAGTGATTTATAGGTTTATGCTAGTCTTTGTGACTATATTGCTCTGATTTTATTTTAGGCAGTGTTGTTTCAATTAATGGTGATATTGAAGTATATTTCTGGGCACTCAATATATATATTTTTTCAATATATTTTTTTACATTAATCTAATACAAGCAGAATAAAGGTTTATTACCAGGGCTCCTCCTCTAATAGGGGGTTCAATTTCCTCTTCTCAGCAAGTTTTACCCAAGAAGAGGGCAGTTCATACAATAACTGGTCTCATATAACCTCAGTAAACAAGCTTTGGCTAAAGGGGGCAGGGCTGAGATTTCCTTCTAAATTGGAGTCTGTGCTAGAAATCTCTAATAGAGTGATGATGGGAAGAAAAGAACGTTCATTCGAGAGTCTCTGTACAAACGGACAGCACTACAGGGGCTCACACAAAACAAAGACCCAGCCACGGGGCAGGAAGAAGTAAGTCTCAAGTTTAAAAAGAGTTCACCAAAGAACTGAAAGTTTTCACTAATTTCAGCCATCCTCTCCGTATTCTATAAAATCATAGCTAATAAAGAACAGCACTAAATTTACCATTGCCAAATAATGTAATCAGAAACCTAGCAAAAGAGCTCTGGAATGCTGATGACCTAATTCTCTCACTAAACAGGTGCCTTACTGTTGCTGAAAAGAAAAAAAAAGACCCTACATGATCTTACATTTGAAGTAGCTAAAGCAAAATAGGCAATTTGTTGATAAGTTAGAATTACTACAAAGAAGACTCAGATCACCATACTAGCATCCACACAACTGTTTACTCAACATTTCCACCTGGTGTTTATTAGAACTTCAAACCTTAAGTATCGAAAAGAAAACTTTGGATTCTTTTTGCTAGCTTCCCCTTCCCCACCACGTACCCAGTTGTTCTGATTCGAAACCCGAGTTCTCTCTGCTTTCCTTCCTTTCCTTCTGCCAATCCATTAGCACGTCCCATTAACCTACATCCAAAATACCTTCTGAATCCCACCATGTCTGAGCACCTCCTGTGCTACCATCCTAGCCCAAGCTACCAAAGTCTCTCAGGTGGACTACCTAAGTCATCCCCACTCATATCCCACTACGGTAATTTGCCACACAGCAGCCCAGTTTAAAACCCAACAATGACTTCCGACAGCACCAAGGATAAAACCCTAACTTCTTACCTTGGCCTACAAGGCTTACCTCTCCAGCCTCAGCTGCCCACTCTCTCCCTCACTCAGCATACCATAGTCACACCTGTGCCGCCTCTGTTTCTCCAACATGCCAAGTGTATTCCCACTGTGGGGCGTTCACACTTCCAATTCTCTCAGTACTGAAAACTCTCCCCCCCCCCATCTTCACATGACTGGCTCCTTTTTTCACCCAAATTTCTGCTCAAATGTCACCTCTTGTAAAGAGGCCTTCCCAGAAGGCTTTATCTAAAACACCTCATCCACAACAGCTCTCTCCTAGTTACTCATCACTCAAGGCACCGATCATTATCTGAGGTTTTCTTCTTGTTTGCTCACTTATTAACCTTCTTCCCAACAAGGAAGTTTATCTGGCATGTTCACCATGTATCCCCACACTTAGAACAGGGCTGCCCGCACATCATCACGTCTCAACAAATGTGTGGAATGAACAAAATGAGAAAGACCGTGTTGTGTGAAGACTAGCGGGAAGACAAGGAATTATTAAATTGAATTGAGAAGACAGGAAGAATTTAGCCATTGGCTCCAAATCTCTCGGGGGTGGACACATGGAAGAAAAGCTCTGTTTATTCTGATTTCTAAGGGCAGGGCTCAGACCAACCGTGGTTGCTATAAAGGGGCATGTTTTAAAACCACTACCTCACAAGTCATCTGAAAATGTAAATGAGCTTCTGCAAAACGTTTCCTCTCACTGGACGTGCTCGGACAGAGGCTTGACCATCACGTATACGAAATAAAAAAACAAATTTCAGAGCCTAGGTGTGTGACCCTGGATAAGTCAGCCTTCCCCTCATTGATCTGTTGCATATTTAAAATGAGAAGCTTGGGGCCGGCCGAGTGGCGCGATGGTTAAGAGCTGGCTTGGGACACCAGAGGGCCCCCGTTCGGATCCCACATATGAGAGCCGGTGACACTGCCCTCCACAGCTAAGATGCTGAACAACAGCTCGACCTGGAGCTGGGCTCACTGCCATGAGTCGCAGGCGACGGCGTAGGCTGCAGCCCCTGCTGCAGTGGGTTGCCATGGGCTACCGTGTGTAGCCAGCAGCCAGCATGAGCGGCTAGCAGCCGCAGTGAGCGGCCGTCCAGAAGCCGGCGACTGATCTGCCTCGCCCGGGAAGAGCGCAATGATGCTGCCAACTAGGGCCAGTGAAGCAACGTCCTCCACAACTAGACTGAAGAACAAAAGGACAGCAACTTGTCTGTTCCCCTTCCCCAATTCCCCAGCACTGTTCCCATCCCCCAATTCCCCAATTAAAAAAAAATTTTTTTTTAATCTTAAAAAAAATAAATAAAATGAGAAGATTGAAAGAGAATCACTGATTTTCTCAGCTCCTTCCAATTCTGATGTCTTAAGAATCAACAAAATCAAGTTCAGCAAGTTTCAAAACTCCTGCCCTCTACATCACAAATTCTGCAGAGATAAGGCCTGCATTTCTCTTGCTTACTGCTGTATTTCTAAGAACTTAGCACTTACCGTATTTCCCCATGTATAAGACGCTCCCATGTATTAAGATGCACCTTAATTTTGGGGCCCGAAATTTGAAAAAAAGTGTATTACATAAAGTTACTGAACGCAAGTTTTATTCGTCATAAAATTCATACAACTCCCCATCACTGTCAAAACTCCCAACCATTAGCTTGTCCTCATCTGTGTCTGATGACGAATCACTGTCTTCATATATTGCCTCGTCCTCAGTTCCATCTATGGCATTTGAAATCTACCACCACTGTATAAGATGCACCCAGTTTTTAGACCCCAAATTTTTCGAAAAAGGGGGCGTCTTATACATGGGGAAATGCGGTAATAAGTACTCAACAAACAGGTGACGAAAGGTCATTAAAATGAGGGAGAAACGTCTGCCAACCAATCTGTCCACGTTTTCCACCTCCGTGTGGCAGCGGCTGTGAACACCCATAGAAGCCCAAAGAGAAGCATCCTCTGTCCTAGAGAACTTAACAAAAGTTCAAGCAAAGCTCATCGACCTGGTCAACCCTCCGCCCATCTTCTGCAGCGGTGACAGCAGTGTCCTCGTCTACCAGCAACGGCCGGCTCCCCGGGCACACCATCACTCGCCTCTGGACCTCCCCGAGACGGTGCGGGGGTGGAGGGGGGCGGTCAGGGTCCAGCGAAAACAGGACAGGGACGGGTCCAAGGAGGGGGCGGCTGCCCCGCAAGGAGGACCCCGAGGTGACTCACCTCTGGAAGGGACTTGCCGCAGCTGAGACTGTAAATCTTCACCTCGTTGAGGCTGGAGACCTGCATGGTGGCGCGGACGAGCGGCGACCCCTGTTCCAGTCCGGGTCCCTGTCCCCACGGTGCACGATGGCATCAGTTTTCAGGGCCTCCCCAGCGAGCATCCGCGACGCGCAGCACTGGCGCTGGCGGATGACGCACTTCCGCTTCCGGGCAGCGCCGGTTCCCGGAAGAGGGGAAGTGGCCGAGTTAGGAAGGGGGAGCAGCCGGGTGGACGGGTGGCGAGGCTGTGGGGCCGGCTACGACCCCAATTTGAGGAGGGCCAGGAACTGCTCTCGTTCCTCACAGGGTCCCCAGCATCAGGAAGCCCTTCGGGTCGCTGCCGAGGCCGAAGGGTCGCTGTCCCGAGCGGGGGCCGGCGGTGTTGGCTGGGCTGACCCGAAGCTTGGCGGGCTCGGTGGAGGACACGCAGCGAGCGAAGGCGGCCCGTGAGCGAATTCAGAGTGGAAGTGTATTTTTTTTTCCCCTCCACTGTTGGATATTATTACATTACAAATAAATACTCTTTAAAAATGGGTGTGTTCAAAATGTAATTTTGGTCTGACAATCATCCACTAAGGAGGGATATAAAAGAAAACGCATACTTTTAAAAAAGTAGAAGTAAAAGAAGGGGTGGATGGCGATCAGGGAAGAAGCGGGTTTGAATCTGACGGTGTGTGAGACAGGTGTGTGGCAGCAGCGACAGACGCAGCCGCCTCAGGAACGCGTCTTCTCGGGACGTTCACAGACTTGCTCTGTTGATCTTCCCGCTTCCTAGAGAACCGCTTTCCTGTGACCTCGGTCCGAGGACTTGAGAATTCTGGGCGTGGATGAAAACTTGAGGGGAAAGTGTAGGTTCACCGCAGCCAAAGGGCTCCTTTTGAAATTGGAACATAGTCTTCACTCCCCGTAACGTGTAACTGACGTGGGTCGTTGTTAGCACAGGCTATGAAGGACTTCAGGGGTAGCCATTTGTTGCTGCTGTACCTGCCCTGAAAGCCCCAGTCCAAATTCTCCCTTCCGCCCGAGACACTGAGCAAATATGCGGGATTGCCATCCTCCTTGGGGAGGCAGTGTGGCACGGTGGAAAGATCAGGGCTTCATGGTGACAATAAAATGGGCCTTTTAAGCAAGTCCTACAAATAGAAAACGCTTATTGTCCAAAATATGCAGGATGACTTTTAAGACATCTTGAATAATTTTACGCAAAAAATACCCGTTTTATTATTTTCAAGAATGTAATGTAAAAGCCCATCGACTGTAACAAACACTGGTATCTGTCACTTATTAAGTGCTATGTATTAGATATAGGATATACCCTACTTCTCACTTTGATCATTAAGGGCCCTAGACCATTTCAGTTTAGTTTATTCGACCCTGTTTCCCACCGACCCTTAGATTCCCTTCTATTTCATTAGCATGAGTTTCATTTATGCTGGTTTTGAATCACTGCCTATGCTAATCTGGATTCTGGAATGCTCTCCCCTTCTCTTTATATCCAGATACCACCAGCTCCTCAAAACTCACCTTTTGAATATTTTTCGCATTTTCCTGTGCTTTCACTGTACTGTATAAATACCTTTACAGCAATTAAATCTTTATTGGTAGATTTTTTATTATCAAAATACATAGCAACACATCCTACAAACACAAAATAATGCACTTGGCTATAATGCTATACCAAATACCTATGCTTGGAAGTTTCCTTCAGGCATTCTGGTTTTCTTAAGTCACCACAACCTCTCAAGGTTAATTAAAATGTCATTTTTAAAGAGCCCATAAAGCTTTGTCCTTTATTAAACTTCGGATGGGCTCCTTTCGAACATGATTTTCGCTCTGTTATTTTCTTTGTCCTTCGTTTTTATTACTATAGGATAATTTTTTTTTAACATTCAAAAGTTTGATAGTGTATTGAACTCATGTATATATCACCTAGCTTCATCACAACCCATCGTGTTTCACGCATACCCTCACTACTGCCTCATCCTTGGGTTATTTAGAAGCGAATCTACGGCAATTGTCTTTGTGAGTTGTAACATTCTTTCTTGACCACCAGCTCCATCTAGACTTGATGATAGGACTTCATTTCTGGATTCCCTGGGCTTTGCCCAGTGCCTGGTATATAGCACACTTTCAGTAAATATTGCTTGGTAAAAATGAATCAATTACTTGATCACTCCTCATCCTGACCCAAAGTCCCAATTCTTGTTCCATACATTTTGGCCTTTGGTAATATTGAAAGCAGCGTAGCTCTGTGCTGGGTGATTATTGTTTCAAGCATGTCTTTTTATACATCTTGTCTCTCTAACAAGAAATGTCATAGCTCAGAGGCAGGAACCACACGCGAGGGAACACAGTGTATTTTGTGAAATAAAACAAGGTGTTCCTGGTCCCAGAACAGCTCGCTCCCTGCAGTCACTGGCCTGAGGCCTTGACCTACTGAACTCCAGGTTTGCTTTCAACTGAGTTTGGTGCAGCTTCTCGGGTGTTACTAGGATCACCTCTGACATATTCGGTCCATAGGCTGTAATGAACTTGAATATAGCGCTGTATTAGATGACTATGCTTGAAGCGAAGAGCACAGGCTCCAGAGCCATACTGCCTGGGTCCAAATCCAGGCTACCCTGTAGCACCTGGACAGAGCAAGTTAATCTCTCTCTGCCTCTGTTTCCTTATTTGTAAAATGAAAATAATAATGGTACCTACCTCAAAGGGCTGTTGTAAAGATAAGTATATGCCACAAATCACTGCGTCCAGGACATCCATTTTATTTTTAAGATTTTTTATTGGTGAATTGGGGGAGGGGAACAGTGTTGGGGAATCAGGAAAGGGGAACAGACAAGGTGCTGTCCTTTTGTTCTTCAGTCTAGTTGTGGAGGACGTTGCTTCACTGGCCCATGTTGGTATTATCATTACGGTCTTCCCGGGTAAGGCAGTCGCTCACCAGCCATTGGACAGCTACTCACGGTAGCTCATGGCAGCCCACTGCAGCAGGGGCTGCAGCCTACGCCGTCGCCGGCGACTCATGGCAGCCCAGCTCCAGGTCGAGCCGTTGTTCAGCATCTTAGCTGTAGAGGGCACAGCGTCACTGGCCCTCATGTGGGATCCGAACCGGGGTCCTGCTGCTCAAGCCAACTTTTAACCAAAGCACCACTTGGTCGGCCCAGGACATCTATTTTTAACCTAACTATGTGGGGGGGATTACCCCACTGAGTGGGATTTACTTAAGTGGGCTCTGGTGCCTGTTGAGACTGCCCTTTGTGTGTGCCACTTGTGGGGCTAATTGGGCAGTGCTCTGCTGTGGTCTGAAGCCAACCTCCAAGTATGTTGATTCTGATACCTCATGGGAGGAGCTCCTGTGCAGGCCCAGGTCACCCGCTGCCTGTGACTGCCTGGCGACACTACCTGGTAGGAGCTATAAAGTGATCCACTGTTGTTTGCTGCGTATACTAACCCTGGAGGCATGTGAAAGAGGCCACACTGCGAACCAACGATGGCTGCCACTAGTACCGGGCTTGGGGTAGCTCTGCAAAAAGCCAGGACACACCAAGGTCTGCTGCCACCTGCTGGCCCATTTAAGTTTCAGTTCACTGATAATGCCTCTTGCAGTACACAGGTGGGATGAGGCCGGGTCTCAGGGAGTCACTAGGGTGGGAACAGTCGTGGTCATCAGATTAATGTAGACTCTGGTTTGGTGACAGTGCTGAGCCTGGAGCTACTCAGCAAAAGTCTCAGAGCACACCATGGCCAGTCGCCGCCCACCTGGGGCCTACGGATTTTGATGGTTTTCCAAGATGGTTTTTCAATGCAGGCTGCTAGCTGAGAAAGTGCCTCCAGCACTGGGGGAGTTGGGTAGGGCAGGATTCCATCGGAGCTCCCCAGGCCAATCAGATTCAGATTTGGCCTGTGGGGGAGGACTCAACACAGGAAAGATAGCACCCACCTGCTGGCTGCACGGGAAAAGGACCCCACACAGGGAAAATGGTGACTACCTTCCAGCCCTTGCCACAGAGCCGCACACCTCGGTCTGCCCTTGTATAACTTCGACACCCCCTGAGTCACTGTCCCTCTACCAGAGCCCAGGGTGAATGCTTGTGAGCAAGAGTCTGTGTGCGGGCCCCTTAAGAGGACGTCTGGGTTTCCCATAACCTTCCATCCCACCTGGATTGTCAGAATCCCCACTGTCTTTCACAGCCAGATTTTGTGGTGGGTCCTCTTCCTGGCACCGGTACTCCAAGCTATGGAGCCTGGTGTGGGGGTGGGGTCCCTCAATCCTCTGTGAGGGAATCTGTGTGACCTAGATTCTCCTGATTCTCAACTGCCACACAGAGGCTTGGGGCCAGACCGTTTCCCGTCTCTGCCCCTTCTACCAGTCTCAATGTGGCTTCTTTATATCCTTAGTTATAAAACTTCTGTTCTGCCAGACTTCAGATAGCTCTCCAGGTTGATTGTTCTATAGTTCAGTTGTAATTTTTATGTGTTCATGGAAGGAAGCAGGCACAGTGTTTATCTACTCTGCCATCTTGGATCTACTTTCAAAGAATACGGTCGTATCGTGATTTTTTCATTTACTTATCCATGTCCTCATGGATTTTTAAACTGCAAGATTCACCATCAGATCTTTGATGCCTCCAAAGTCTCACCCCATACAGATGCGCTATAAGTTATGTTGAGAGAATTAATAATAATAAAATCACCATAGTTTATTGTATGCACAGTAGGCATTCTGAGTTAAATGTTTTACACAAGTTACCTCTTTTAATCTTCACCAAAACCTTACAAGGAAGGTGGTATTAATGTTCCAATATTGCAAATGAGAAAAATGAGACTAACGTGTAGGTTTACAAAAAAGAAATGTGCCCTAAAATGTTAATTGTTCAATCTGTGTAAGAGATATGTGAGTTGTTGAAAATACTGTTTTCTCAACTTTCCTGTAGGTTTGAGAGTTTAAAAAGAAAAACAACGAATTTGTGCCAGGTTGCAGGAGAGAGGCAGGATGCAAATCCCACCTGTGTGAAGCAGATCACTTCCTGCCACCCCACCCCCTCCCCAGCTAATCCTCTTTGTCCTTTTCCCTGTTCCGTGGTTATATCCCATATCTGCCAGGGTTTTTAGTTGCAAACAACAG